AAACCAACAAACCTAATATAAAATAATACAGCTAGTCATGAAATTCTGAAAGTGCATGACCAAAACACACAGCGAGCAAACCACGCAGCAATCACACACAATCTTTTTCCACGCGCTTACGCAACCGGTCATGCATGTGAAAATATGCAGGACCGCTCAGTTGCCAAGGTAACAAAGCCAAAATCAATAACATACGAGAATATTCAGCAAGAATATCGCCTAAAGACCATTGATTTGGGTAACAAAATAATAAATAAAATACTTAGGCGTAGAAGTGCAAAGATAAAGTATAATTCTATTGTAAACAATTATACTGAATTGATTTTTAAACATTTTGGGGGAAATTTTTAGTCATGCACTGCATGACCTGCATGACCGCTGGCTTCGCCACTGCCTGACTGACGCTAATAGAATGTAGTAACTGGAACATCTTTGCTCTCCATTTTGTGCTCCATCCATTCAAACCCACACTGTAGCACTACCACCATAAGATGCATCAGATGTTAGAACAACACATGAATCATACCACAATGACCAACCCTTTCATCCTCATTTGTACACTGAATAACATCACCAATCTTAGCACCAGGAGGAATGTCACATTTCTGAATTGGCAAGACATTATTTGCTCTTTCAACCACATAGACTGTGACTTGTTCTCCAGGAATATTATGTTCAACACTCATTGTTGGGTAACCAAAGTAAGTTCAACCAAAGTAAGTTTTGAATATTTCATATATCTTGAATAAATCTATGTATATGTTGCTTGTATATGTCTTACACATGTGTTCAGGACAGTCATCTAGCTTATGGTCTCTCTCAATCTTCATTGATACACACTTCTCGAGTCTCATCAGAAGATCTGTGCCTTTATATTTCCCTTTCTCCAAGCTTTTATCTGGATATGGCAACGTAACCTGCATTTCGTCAAGTGCAAGCCATGAATACTTTGTTTTATCGACATCTGGGAGAACAGACCATAGGTGGTTACACAGGTACAACTGAAATTCATCTGCAAAAATGTGACAGTGCAGACTGCTGCCTGACTTTAATTGATGTTCATAAGCACAAGTGATTAGTGCCCTAATATGTCGGGAAAAAATCAAAATACATATGCCATAGCTTGCGAGAGCCAACATAAATTACTACTTTTTCTCCTTTCCTGGCACATTCAAGAGCCTTATGTTGAATAAGAAGAGTTTTTCCTGATCCTACTACACCACGAATCACTTGATAACGAGGACCTTCCCATTCAGCAAGTTGCTGTTGATTAAGAAGCCTAAATTGACCCTTCAGCAGTGAAAGATCTGGGTGCTCTTGTGTTGATATAACACTTCTCTTTTTCTTGTTAGGCAATTCACTCACGACTTTCTCTTCCTCCTTTTTTCTTACCTCTTCCTCTTCTTTCTGTCCTTCTCATTCTGCTTATCATAACTCTGTTGTAGGAACTTTTGCTTACCAATACAATCATGCAATTCATTTACAAAGTTGTCGGCGAGGTACACAACATCAGAAAACATCTGTGGAATTATGGTTGTAACTTCAGTCCTCTGACCAACAAGTACACAACACAGCTTATGCAACACTTCGCGTTGTGATTCTTCCAATTCTTTGCCACGGAACTTTGACCCAAACCATTTCTCAATGTCTCCCAAAGTTTCTCTGTCCAAATGGCATGCTACATTTTCAGGTACTTCATTCTGCGTTACTTTCTTCTATATCGCCAAAGAATTGTAGCCAAGTATTTAGTGTGGATGTAGAGAACTTATTTGTTGGTTAAGGAAACAAGGAAACCAATAAACTTCGACTTGAAGCAATTAGTGGCTGAAATGTTGTTAGCAAATGCGATATATACTACGCTTTCCTGCTTTAATTAGCATCTTCGCAATGGCAAACTGAATCCTGAATTGAGTTTTGAAACTCAACCATCAACCCTCTTACAGACTCTTCTCCAGGCTTATTAAGTCAAATATGTCAACATCAAATATTAAAATATGATGCAGAATACTGTTTTTGTGGGTTTTTTATGTTTTATGATGCTGATGGTGATGATGACAGTTTGTGATGATGATAATTATTAAGGGTGATGTTTTATGATGATGGGTTATACTTTATAGTATTGCATACTTTATAATGTCAAGTTTTCCATAAAAACGTGAACGGCATTTTTCAATAATTTAATATTCGCACATTCTGAGCTAATCTAATTAAATCCGCGAAGTGGGACGAAATTATGGTCACCGACACGTATTCAAGAAAAAAAATTGTGAGCGGTTCTAAACGTTGGGTCATTCCAGAAAATTTTCGAAGGAGTTGTAGGTTTTTTTTGGTAAATTTTACAACATTGCTTAGTTCCATCAGTCCAATAATGTTTCAATGTCATGTAGTACCAGCAAATATAGTAAGTACGCAGATAGCGAGAATTCTGCGTAGTTACCAGATGACACGTAAGTGCGTGAATTATCTTGCGCTATCCAGTGCCAGTTTTAGATCAGCGGATATGACAATCATAATTATTTTAAATATTTTATTAGATGAAAATAAAGACATGGAAGAGACGGAAAATACCATTACAGCTTGCGAAAGCTCTAACCTGAAGGAAGATGGAGAGAAAAGTAATGTAGTTGGGGAGGAAGAGAAGCTACAATGCCCAGCAAAGTTCCAAGGAAGCAAAACAAGTGAAATGGCTGATCATGAAAATAAATCCATAGCGAGCAAGTTGTACGTTCACAGCCAATGGCTAGCAGTCCAAAGTCCTTATTTCAAGGCACTGTTTTATTCAGGCATGAAAGAGACTTATACCAAGGAGGTAGTAATGAAAATCTACGAAGATGAACTTCAGGCTCATCTAACCTTAATTGAAGCGATGTACAAACTTGATGTTCTCAATGACAAAGACTACCGTCTTCTTGTCCAAGTTCTTGTCCTTGCAAACAAGTATGATGTTCGTCTTGTCATCAAGAAGTGCAAATGTGTTCTGTTGTCTACAACACTAAATTTAGAAATGTGTGAATATATTCTCCAAGAAATGGAACGTCTTTCCGACAAGGCCGATATATATGAGATGCTCGAGAAGTTCCTTGTGAAGGAATTTACACCGATTGACGAAACATGGACTATGCAAAAATTTACTGAACTTTCAGAAGCCGCGCTGAGGCTTCTTTTGCGAAGTGATAATTTGGGCAGTCGATCTGAAAATACAGTATTTGTTGCATTGATGAAATGGGTTAAATCGAATTTGTCCTTCAGAGTGCGCTATATATGTGATCTGTTAGATCTTGTAAGATTTGAGTTCATGACAATCGATTTCTTGGTGGACATGGTCCAGGAACATACGATCGCTAGGCGAATGCCTGGATTTAACACATATCTCCTAAATGGTTTAGCATATCACGGATATTCACAGATCAGGCGGGAACAACTCGAACCGAAGCCGAAGAAACGACGTTTGGTGGAAAGTGCTGGTCCAACGTTTTCATGGCTAATTGATGACCAACTCCGAGAAAAATTATCGAAGTTCACAGGAGCTTCTGTTTTTTCAAATAGATTTTGGTATCAAGGATATGCAATGCAACTTCAACTTACCTATGCGAAAAATTTGAAAAAATGCAGCTTCTATCTCGTGATCCGTGACTTGATAGGCAAGGCTTGCTTGTATGCAAGTTTTAAGGCCAAGTCAAAGTTATTTTATGCAAATACAGTTCAGATAAAAAAACACGTGTTTACATTCAGCCAATCCTCGTGGGGGAAAAAATGTATCGAACTTAATCCGGTCTCAGTGGTCAAAGGCCACACAATTGATGTTTGGGTAGAAATCGCGTAATGTTATTTACTGTTGGTGATATTGTGTGAACATACTAAACTACATATGCAATAGAGTAACACAGTAAATATACAATATTGGTAAAACTTTCATGAGAAGAAAGGTCGTCTGGGAAGACCACACAGTTTCAATTCAACCAGAACATGTGAAAACCTTGCTTCATTTCATAAACCTTAGTTGTCCATTGAATTTGTACG